TTTGGCCCTAGATCGCTTCCTGCACACCAAACGACCGCGGACGCGCATCAGAGGGGTGTTAAAAATACCGGTTCTGCGCTGGTGCCGGGATCTAAAATGCTAGCAAGGAGCGTTCTAGAATTCCATGATTCCATGACTCTTCTGCAAGCGCGTCCTGCGTAGCGTTGCTGTCCAGGGTAGTACGGGTGCGCAACCAAAACGAAGGGTGAGGTTTTCTCACCCCTGCCTGCCGTAAGGGCCACATCTTGCTCACGCTGGACTCCATCGTGGAGCTCGTGATAACTTCCAAGAAAAGCATCTCCTACACTTGTGTGCCGTAGGGGAAGCAAAGTGGAGTCAAAAGGCACGCTCCCGCTGTTTCAAGGAAGGGAGGCGTATACACAAATTCAGTGACCCGTGGTTCTTACACAAAAAACATTTTCTTAACATGAAATATTTCCAATGAAATGATGCAGAGCCACTCCTGAATGGAAATTGACTGTGCTGTAAGTGTCATTTTGGTAAGACAAGGCTACTTGTAAAGGCTAGTGCTCACGGACCTTATTCCTCAGCTTTACAATGAAAGTATTTCTTCTTTTCTCATATTTCACATGCTGCTATACCTCACTGCTGCTAAATAAAGCACCTGTGTGAAAGACTACCAATTTAATTTAATTAGGGGCAAGAACAGTATTAAGCTATTTTTTCTATATAAATTACTTGAAGAGTTGACCTAAAAGTACCAAAATTCCCCTCAGAACAATACTGTCGTGTGTTAAATCTCTTACACTCTGCTCTCCAAGACAGGACTCTGTTCATTAAGAAACGATTTTCTGTTAAAGATCTTATTTTTCATAATGATTAATAAAACCGGTGGTTTTCAAAAGGATACCACAGATTGGTCATAAATACATGTAATGTCTTAAACTGTTTTATAGTTTTCTCTGGTTATCAAGATAGAGCCAATTTTCAGGTACAAGTCGGCAATCATTCATGTGTAAAACTGCACTTGATGTAATCAAGGCTCAGTTTGTACCAGGAATTTGTGTGTAAAAACAGTTAAATGATAACAGCAATTATCTCCCCAGTGAGCATAATAAAGCCAGGAATTCTGAATTACCTTAAGGTTAAATTTAAGAGGATCTCAAATTTACAGAAAGATTGCTGTCGAAGGTTCAGAAACACTCTCAGTTTCCTTGTAGTGACATGCAATACATAAAAAATCACCATTAGCAGCTGCAGTTTCAGTTAAAACTGATTTAAAAACCACTCTTTGTAGTTTCAAGTATTTCTGCTTACAATACCACTAATATGACAGGAAAACAAGGAAGAAGGACTGACTTTGCAACAGGGGAGTGTTGCTCACTTCTATCTCATACTGTGCCAATACAGAGAAGTATGCCATCGGAGGCACACCATGCAGAGACATGCACCATCAGCCAGCTAAACGCAACCCTTCGAGGCAGCTACTGAGACTGAGCCACTGTGGCACAACCTGAGATTGTTCTAAGGGCCGATTTTTTTAGGTGATTGTATTTGCTAATAATGACTTGTTAATCTTACTTTTAGCATATAAAAAGTTGGCTGAAATCTCAAACTAGAGAAATAAAATTGTATATGGCAAAGCAAACATGAAAGAACCTGTTGGGTCTCAGGTAGGCATGAAAAACAGGAATATTACCACATAGGCAATTGCCAAACTTTTTTTTTATATATATATATATAGTGCAGTCTGGAGGTACAGCCTGGAGAACTGCACCAAAATCAGCCAGCTGCACCAAAATCAGCCAACTTTGGAATAAGGAAAGAAATATGAAGAGTTAGGATTAATCCAAAAACCGAATTGAACTTATTGGGGGGTGGGGGAGAGAATGAATAATCCATTTTTTAATCAAAATTGTCATTTAAAATATTAAACAAGAAATAAAGTTTCAGCTAACTCTTGCAGCAACCAAACACATAGCAACCGCTAACACCTCAGAATCACAATTAAAACAACACTGATGGAAGGCAAGTTTTTTCATCCATTTCCAGGAAGCTGTAGAGCACAATCCTCCAGTCCTCTAAGTAATGATTACTTCAGAAGCTCTTAAGCCCTTGTTTTATCCATAGAGACTGAGATTCTCAGGCACATAGGAAACCTCAGTCTAGTCTAAATAAAATGCAACAGCCTCCTTAATATCGAGACCACAAAGTTCTGTGTACACAGAAATTACAAGGTCAGGAAAAAAACATTTTCCCCTGAACTAAATGTGACTGTTTATGTTGGTCATTAGCAGGTCCCACATATGCATCCTTAGAGACAAATACTTGAAAATGTTTACAGCTAGAGAGGCACTGAAGACTCAATGATTATGAGAACTTGAACACAAAGTTCAAGTTTATGGAAATCAATAACAGACAACATATCTCATTTTAAGTCTGACAATAGGCAATATTAATAGACAATTTTCTTCTTTCTTTCCATTAGGAACACTCCTCTCTCGAACACCCCCAAACAGAGTGGCATCTCACAATATAAAAAACAAACCAGTATGTGTCTCTGCAGTGCTTGGTGTACGTGTAAGTAGGGGAAAGAAACATCCTTTTTCTCCAGAGAATCTTGCTCCATCTATCAGTCTAGAGCATTCACAGTAGACTGAGATGACTGAAATTGGTAGAAGAAAATCAAACACACCTCTATTTCATGTGGAGTGAAAGAACATATGGGAGACCAACTTACTGCCTGGCCGTAACTGCTTCCACAGGACACTCTTTCTGTTCAACTATGATGAAGCCATTTTCCTCAAGCAGTGACTCCTTCAGCAGAATGCTTGCTGGATGCAATTTGAGTGGGTTTTATTGATCATTTTATCTATTTGAGGATTGATGCTTTTTGTACTCTCTTCCCTTAGTTATAACTTCTGCAGAAGACAAATATAGCCTCAGACTTTTTGTGATGAATAAGTCCTATGCAAACAATAGCCTTGCCAGCTTCTAACTTAGGTAGAAGCTTCTCTGTAGGAAGCTCTTGCTAAAGGAGGCAGCTATAGTTAAATCTTCAGATTGAAAGAGGAGTGACATTTAGAAAAGAATTTGACTTGAGAAGCTGGAGGTGGGGAACTATTGCAGATAAGACTATTAGAAGGGGCTCCAAGATCAGAAAAAAATGCCTTAATTAAGTTGCCAAGGGAGGAAAAGAAAGAATTGATGAAATGGGAGTAAAAGCATTTGATAAGGGCTCAAAAGATGAGCAATTTGGCTTGTAAATATTTTGATTTCTTTTTACAAAAAACTGGCAAAACAGATTTCAGTACAGCTTTATGAGAATCGAGAGTTGTGAAGGCACACAGCAGTACTGTAATTTTATTTATTTGAGGATATGGATTCAATTACTGAACTCTGAACCTGGAGAAAAATCAGAGTCTGGTTTTTGAAGTATCAAAACATACAGTTTAGAATGGATAAAGAGATTGTTCAGATCTCACATCTGGGTTTCTGGAAGAAACATCCTCAATCATAAATAAAGATCTAAAGATTTTCATTTGAGTTCAGTTGCATCTCTAGTAAGAGTTGAAGTATGAGTGGATTAACTCAATAGGATGAACTCAGAAATCTAGCTGCTTTCCTGCTTTAGAAACTTACATAAGGAGAAGAGTCCTGAATTATGTAAGAGACCTTGAATAACAAATCTTCCCAGCACTTAGACAGACCATTGAAGAATAAGCAGCAACCCTCCCCTCTGCATTGGCCTATTTCTTGCTGGTGAAGCCCTTGTTCTTCCTGCCCTTTTGGAGCGGATACCAATCTACTGTGCTCAGCTGAGTGATATGGACTAGTCCTGCTGGACAATATAACTGGAAAATAAATCAAAAGGAAACAGGATGCTTGCATCTTCTTTCTCTCTCCTTCTATCAGTCATGCTCATACAAAGGAATTACACTCTGTCACATTTAATTAATACTTAGACTAAGTAATCTTTATAAACATCCTTTTCAGAAATCACTATAACATTTTCTTCTAAACCCCAGCATGTGTCTGATAATTCCTTTCTCCAAGGTTACTGCAAAGATGGAAGGATGAATTTGAAGTCCTCATTGGATAGAATAGATACAGACTTTGAATTGCAGACAACTTTAGACATAAAGGAAAAGCTTTCTGTTTTTTTTTTTTTTTCCTTTTCTTGCATCATTTTACCCTTTAGAACAGATTGTCCATGGATGCTGTGGAAGGTCCATTGACAGATATTTTTTAAGAACAGGCAAGACAAACTTCTCTTAGAAATGTCATAAATACAGTTGGCTCCTATGTTGGGGCTGGAGAAGATGACTTCCTCAAGTCCCTTCCATTACTATTTTTCTATGATCCTATGTTTATTGCCCTGGCTCATTAAATTCCACAGTTCTGGAAAAGACTAGAGATGATGCTGCCAAGGTGATTTGGGTATCTTCAAATTAACCCCACAGGCCTTGGCACTGAGAAACAGAAAGACTGCCAACTGCTTTTCATATTTTCCCTAGCCTGCCTCTGATCCTTCTACCTGGCATCTAGTCAAAGTAAGACTGAACTTGTACACCTCTGTGTTTAAATGAATCAAAGTCCCATAGTTTACAGAAACAAATGTTAGAACCACATTATTTTAAAAAGCAGATTGTACCTATGTGAAATCTGAATGTAGCTTTGATTGTCCTATCCACGTATCTCTCAGTAAATAAAACCTCTCTCCATGCCTTATCATATTCAACTCCTATGTCCTAGGTACTTGCACCTTCACAAGTGGTGAAGATTCCAGCTTTCTCCATCAGAAGATGATTTTTTCCTCTTTACAGACTGTACTGAGGACAAATCTTTTTCTAAGATCCTCATTAACATGTGTCAAAAGAAACCCAGGGAGCATACACAAAGAGGGTAGCTGAAAGGTGCTTTACAATATCAGGAAACAAATGAATTGAGTGAAAATTAATGATAATTGTACTAATAAGCTTAAAATATTATAATACAACTGGAAAGAGGCAACAAAGTAGCAGTTTGTTGTTATTTGGCTTACCATTTCAAAAGATGCAAAACATGTGCTACTGTGTCAGCCTTATTGACTATACTCAGCTTTAACTGTTCTTACTCATATATAGACAAGCTGTTAAATGGTGAGACCCCCAAGTAGTAGGCTAAGCTATTGCACATACATAATGTCTAACTCAAGGCTCAGCTAGGCAAGTTAGCAGCACGTTATACAATTATGTACATAAGAAGTACTTTAGCAAACAGCATCTGAAGAAATGCCATACTGCAAATGCCACAATATTATTATGACAATGACTAGCACACGTGATGGTAGTCTTTTTCTGCAAATATCAGATGTCACAGCACACAATTTATCTGCATCGAAAAGACTGTTTCAAACTTGCACTGTAAGGAATCTAAGTTCCTGAATTGATACTCAATTCACTTTGGAATCAAAAGGGATGGAGAGATGTCATGTGTTGCTTTGGAACCTCTTTCTGGCACTTCCAAAAGACTTACACTGACGTCTTCTTCAGTCTGACCAAGGAGGGAGAGTAACAATGTCCTGCTGTTTTCATTCTGTGGTGAGGTGACAAAACTGGCATGAAGAAGGAATTATACTGCAGTCTGCACAGTATTACTCGATGCTGCAGATCGTGCATAGTATTACCAACTCCAGATGGCTCAGGGAACAAGGGATTTAATTTGAAAAAAAAAGTTGCAAGAATCTAAATGTAGAACTTAAATGTAAGATTCTAATGATCGAAACATAAGATCCTGAATCTGCTGCACAATGTACTATTGTGGACCAAACTATACATTTTTAAGGTAACCCCTAAAAATCATAGTAGGACTTAAAATGAAATAAAAGAATAATCTGAGCCTATAAAATTAAACAAAAAACCAAACCAAAACAAAAAAAGCAGCTGTACACACTTTTAAAAGGTTAGGGCTACCTTAAAACCTTACAGAAAACAGGGACAGAAAGCCTGTGAGATATATTGATACAGAGATGTATTGCTGCATGTACATAATGAGGTACATGTGTATATTCTGGAGAATAACCAAGGATCAGAGTTCAAAATGCCCCGGAAAATCTAAACGTCTGGGTGCAAAAGCCCTAGACTCTTACTCAAATGGGAAAAAATACTCTGAAAATAAACGCTTTTTGTCTCTTCAATCAAAGGTTAAAATGGATTCATTGCTGACTTCCTCCATTTGCCAATTGTTGACAGCTGTCAATATAGGGATTTGATTTCTTTATCCAAGCATCACAAACACTACCTCAGTATCTTCAGAGAAAGATCTTGACTGTGAGCTGCAGTTTCACTGCCCCAACTCAATTACTGCATTCTTGAACTACAATGTATTCATTTGTGGGCAGTGGGGCAGCCAGTGGGAGGGTATTGATTGGCGTATAATGTCATGTGTAGCAGCGAGAGTAAGATGAAAAGTGTTTTCTGCTTAATGGGTTGGTATTAAGTAGGTGGGAATGGCTTCTAATTAGCCAACAATTGCTGTGTTTCTCAGTTTCCCTCCTTTCCCTCCTCCTGTCGGTCACCAGCTGCCAATCTCTCTCTCTTTTTCCCTTTTTGTGTGGAGTTCATTGCTCACTGCAGTGAAAGCCTTTGTTTAAAAAAGAGGGCTCCCAGGGTCTCATCTGCCAGGGTACAGCTTGCTGCCTGCGATGAGTAGCAACTGTCAGTTTATTTTATCTCAACCTTTTCATCATTCTGCTGAAACTGGTCGAGTGAAACCACCTGAGAGACCTGAGGATTCAGTACCTACAAGTCATTAGCCAGGACTGCTCAGTCTCTCCCCACACAGCAAGTCAACTGAACACTGCTTAAAATATAGTCCACTTTAACCCCGTATTTTCCTATGGACATACAGAACTCTTTCTGCATCTTCTGGATTTTAGTTTCATGATCATTCCTTAAACATACTACAACTACAATTAGCGAGTGATATATTTTCCAATGCTTCTCAACACCAATGCTCAAGCAACTCTCTTCAGAAATACGAAATATAATACAGTAAAACCTATTTATTAGAATACCTTCAATCGGAATCTCCCTCTTATCTAGGTTACGTTCCCCAGCATGAATAGCATACCTAGCAATTCCCCCAATTATTTGAACCTCTACTTACCTAGTTATTGATAATGCATATCAGATAAAAGGGACACATTCTGCTCATAGTTACACTTGTGCAACCCCCCCCAATCAACAAGACTTTATGGGCATAACAAAAAGCAGTATTTGGTCGACAATTTTTAGCATATTTGCAACATTTTCCTCCCTTTGCCATACGGTTTCTCCCTCTGTATGTACGTATATATGCACATATACTCCACGTGCACATCCACCTTCCAAACAGCTAATATAATTGCAGTACAATCATTACAAACTTATCAAAGTATGTGAGAGAAAGAAATATTTTATTTTGAACTAAAATCTAATTACATTTATCTGAATCAAATTTCAAAGTCATTAGCCTGAACAATCTTTTTCTGGTAATCACAGCTAACTTGTTGCAGTCATTACTAACAGTTTTAATACAGCAACTGAAGTATTGCTTTCCCCTATGCAAACAGTGAGCCGTTTCAAGATACATAAAAGATGGCAAGAACAGAACCCCAGTTATTCTCCAATATACCAGTTGATTTCCTAATGCTTAAAATCGTCAATGTTTCATCCCAATTCTCTTCTTAATGCAGCATAAGTGTGCATACGTGGATGAATATCAACAAAATAAAATATGAATTACTCTAATATTATTCTCAAAACTGGGCTAAATGTACCAGTGAGGATAAGCTCACTCTCGGGGAATTACA